AGATATAGGGGCAGGGGGGGGGGGGGGTGCCGTAGGGGGGGCCTTAGGGGTGGATGGTGGGGTGCGACCACCACCCACCCCTATGGCCATATTCGCATTCATTACCTTCAAATCCTTCCGTGTTTTGGCACGGGCTACATACTGGTGGGGATTCGTATCCCGTGCAGAAAATGAAGGCCTCAATAGATGATAATCGAAGGAAGTAGTACTCCTTGGAGTAACTCCCAGCCCGCCCGAGTGTGACTCAGTGGCCCGACACGGGTATGCCACCTGGGTGAAGCACTCTTGGAAACAGAAACTGGAATCCTGGGGGGGGGGAAATGCCGTTTCCTTATCTCTCACCGCGCGAGAATCGGCTCCCGAGATTTTCGAACTCCTCGTCCCCGCTCGCACGAACGACACCCCGAATGGGATCCCCCGAGAACACCCACGACCCGGGAACGAGCGACGCGAAGGAGGAAGCCTCGTCACCTCGCCTCCCTCCACTTCCTCCACTCCCTGCCCGTGCACGCGAAGAGAGCAACCCGAGAGCAACCCCGTCGCAGCCAAGAAGGGATGAATCCCCACGCTTCTCTCGGAGCTCGTTGGCTTCTTTCGAGAGGATTCTTCGAACGACATCGTTTGCTCACGGTTTCAAATCCGGACGACTTTGAATCGTGGAAATTACCTGCATGATTCCGCGCCGGCATCGGGCATGGAACGAGACGCCGAGACGAAAAGCGGACGGCTTCCGCAGAGAGGCGAGGAAGAAAGGGGGATACGCAGAGTTCCCTGAAAAAAAAAAAAATTAATAAAACAAAAAAAAAACGATTTTTCGCCGTATTTTCATAGAGAATCGGAATCGGAAACACGGCGGTTCGTCTCATCGCGACCGAATTTTCAGGATTCAGAGAACAAAAAGCGAAGGAAGAATTTCGTGTTCTCCCAGGATTTCCGGTCTTCTGCCGTCCTTCGTCTGGAACGAATTTTCCTTTTTTCCAGGCAACAAATCGTCGTCGAGAACATTTCGTCTTGTATTCCTTTCCTGACGATCGAGAATCGCTTCTCGAAGCGGAGCGTCACGCGTGAGGATCACGCGAGATGCGAAAAGCGCATCCAAATTTAATTTTTTTTAACTCCTCGGAATGCAAACAGAGAATGCCAAAAGGATTCCCAGAGATTTGCTTGGCCCGTTGCGAAAAAAAAAAATTGGGAAATCGCGCCTGCTCTGCCGTTATCTCGTCTGCCCTGCTCCCCCCCTCCCCCCGCCGTCGCTCTTTTGAGGACTCCGTTTCGAGTTCCATCTCCATCGAGGATTTTTATACGATAACACGCCACACTTTTCTATGCTCCATCTGAGTCACTTTCCGCTTTCGTGATTCATCGCCGAAGCTACTGCGTAGAATCGTGAGCAGTTACGTCCATGTCGTGAGGGATTTGGAGTTCCAAGACGAATGTCGTCGTCGCTCCATTACATGTCGACTCATTAATTAGAATTAATTATGGCTCGCTCTCACTGTCACGTCCAACCGATTGAAGTTTGCGCAGGGTGGCCGAGAAATGCCTCACGCATTTCGAAGTCGTGTTAAGTTGGCATTATTAAGAAATCAAATTATTCGTATAGAATATTAAACGCGTAAATGTTCGCCGTTTTTCCGAATCGAATGGATCGACGCGTTTCGCATCGCCTTTCGCCCGGCGTCGATGCATTTTGCGACGGGCCGAGGACCCTTCGAGATTCGCGAGGGAACGTCGGATGTTCGCGATCGGCGCTTGGCGAAACGCGATGCGAAACGCGGAGATCCGTTTAGATCATTATGCACAACAAATAATTGAATTTCCTGTCGTAATGGCCGTTCGATATTACTTTGAAACGTATCTGGTATTTCTTGGCCACCCCGTACGATAGCAGCAGAAAAAAGCCGACGATGACGATTGAGGGATCGGTAGATGGAATCGATCGGCATCTCTCCGATTCTTCGATCCTCGGCAGGATCTGCTCGTCGATTCCATAAATTTATGCTGGCGATCGGATCTGGATCGCTCGAGAAAATGGCGAGACGACGAGAACGAACGGTTCATTGATTGAGAGAGAGCCAGTCGTGAGCCTAAGCTTGTTTCGTCGTATTGCTTTTCGATGATTTGGTGAAAATCGGAAGCGATCGCTCGTATCGCCCTTGGAGAGTTTACGTGAGCCGATGACGGGGCGAATCGCTTCCGGAACCATTTTTTCCACGATTCGAAGCTGCATGGTCTTCTCTTTTCGTTTCCGTCGTCGCATGATTCCGAGCCGCTTTGAAGCCACTTTGAAGCCACTCGACCAGATTGACGACCGTGTCGTCATCCTGTCGCCTTCCGGCCGAGAATTTTCGTTTCTGACGCGTCAGGACTCCATTACCGTTATTTATTTGGCATGCATCGATCACAGTTTTGACACGAATTTAAATTACGTGATGGGAACGTCGAGTGGACCACAAATATGAACTACGAAAAACGGGACGCGACGAATCCCGCAACCGTTCGTAATTGCGACCCATTGCCGACGAAGGAATGTCGGCCCTTGAGTCGGCTGCGACGAATCGTCGTGCAGCCACCCTTCCTTTTCACTCGACTCAATTTCTGTGAAAGCCGAGGAAACCGTTGCGTCCACGGAACGGCATTCCGTCGGTCGCATCAGCATGCATCGAAAAAAACCGGAAAACCTGATCGAAGAGGGGAAGATCCACGAAGCGAAGCAGCCGCCGAAGAGGCGAAAGGAACGAAAGGCGGTGACCCTGGCGAGGAGACGAAGCGACGCCACCGGGTGCCCGACCGGGTCTGCCACGTCACCCAGGCGTTCCTTCCTCATCTCTGGCGGTCGACGACACCTGGCGGAAGAAGCCGGAGGCTCTCAACCCCTTCCCCCCCTTGCTGCTCCCCCGCGCAGTCATTCGTCGCGTGGAAGTCGAGACGGTCGGAGGTCTCTGCCAGGCCTCTCGTCGTTCCTGCTTCCCTCAGACTCTACCGAGCGAATGCAAGACCTTAAACTTCCCACACCTTGCTTTGAAGTCAGCCGGAAACGGAAGAAACGAACGGAACGACCTCGTCGCATCGTCACCCTCTCGAGAAGCGTGGCCACGCTTTTCCAAATAAATTTCCAAATAATTTGTGGAATTAATTCAAAAAGTAATGAATCCTTCATGAGAGAAGCCCCTCCGACTCCTTACTCTAACCAGAAAAATACCACTCATAATAATAATTAAGCATTTAAATTGCAAATGAATGCATCAGTCCATTATGGCATGCATAGCCACAGCTTTCATTTTCGTATATCATAACTGTTAATCCGCACATACCACCCTCTTGGCCCATCAGAAGGAAATCGCAATCGGAAATAAAACGACGAAATGCAGCCGAATGTCCCCCTTCGCGACAGATAAGACTCGGCCGTCAGCTGTAATAACGCCGGAACACAACAGAGATTACAGTACTGTATATACAGGGTGGGGAAAATTATTGTATTAAGGAGTACACAAGTTAAATTTTATGTACCGTGCAAATACATTTTATTCGGGTTATTTTAATGGCAAAACAGCGACGATCAGCAAGGACTTTAGACAGTTTTTGGCGACTATGTTACCGATTCGGCTCCAGACTTACGAGACTCTTCGCCGTCCAGCTCGGACGTCTCGAAAGCCATTCCTTCCTTCGATCAGAAACGCCGACTCTGCATGCTTCAGAGGACCGAAAAAAATTTTTTTACGAAAGTTACCGGCCTACAGCGTCCAGTCACTTTCGATGCAGACTTAATGCGTATTAGGTGCAGTCACCCTTCGGGAAGGAGTCGTCCCCGATGGGACAATCTCGATTCTTCTCTCCCCATCGGCGGAGAGAGAAATCGTACGATGAGATGTGAATCGAAACGACAGCGAAGACACATCCTTGCATGTCGCAAGTCTCCCTCTCCGCTCCTTTCGGCCCGAGGATGTCATGTAATTGCGGAAAGCCAGGATTCGGAAAGTGTTCGCGACGTGCCATTCCTGCTCTGACACGGGGCCTCTCAGCCGAGACACCTGGTCCTCCCTGACGTGAATTCCCTTCCGACATCGGAGGTGAGGCCGTCCTGAACTCTTTCAATGCACCTCTGTGATTTCAGCAGAGGCCTTGTGGATATCTTCGTGCCGAAAATGACCGGATCCATGATGCATCGTCTTGTCTTCGCTCTGGGCCTCCTCGTGAATTTTTTTCCTGTTTTTCTCCTATCGATGGTTGTTGCCGAGGGAACGGAGTGAAAATGGAAGTTCAGTTAGCAGTAGTAGGTTGTCTTATCAATGCAACGTATGGCGTGATTCATTTGTGGTGGGACATTTTTTCCTTCGTCTCGCTGTGACTCATTTCGCAAAAACATGGGACAGTATTAAAACTCTCTTCTTGTTTACCTTGTTTGTCTTGTCGCGATCGACTCTCCGTTGCTTTAGGTTGCGCCGGGTATCGCGAGTCTTGGTGTCTAATGCTATTTTTTTTGTCGACCTCTAGTGTCCAGGATAAGAAGCAATCATCCTTTGCAGCTGTGTGACCACCTCATCGAAGGTAAATCACGCCGCAACACTACGACTAACAGTGTCTATGCTAAACCAAGAATTCGAGGATTTCAGAATCATCCAAGGAAAGCCTTCATTTTTGTAACAAAATCGCGTTTATGGGTTCTGAAATGTCACATGACAGAACAAATACCTAAATAGTATTGTAGCGTTGATACCCTGAAATGTAAAGAGGCAAAGTTATCAACTTTAGCTTTACCATCACCAAAGTATATTGCTCGAAGGTGCATTCGCCGTTCTAAGGTAAATCTTTACAGCCGAAACGAATTTGGCCTTTTTCTTCTATAGCCGGGGTCAATGGATCTAGGAGGAGGATGCACGAACGCCAAGGAATTCTGTGGGCAGTACAACAGAGAGCCCGGAGGGATGACTTACCCAATGTCGCATCTGCAATGTGGGTCGTGCCTCGACGGGTAGGGGCCTTCGCCAAACGACGCCTCCGATCTCATTCCATAAGCATAACATAATTTCTCCCGATTTCCTTTTTTCCAAGTTACACTGAGGAGGAGTGGACGGGAGGGAGGGTGGCGGAGGTGTGCCGGCCGACCGGATCGTCCGACCGAACCCAAGACGACCTCGCCCCGGGAGAGACATCGCAGGGAACGGAGCTTACAGTCATCGTCGCCTCGATCGTCGTCGGAGTCTGCTGCGTTCTCATTCTCGTCGGAGTCTGGTTCGGTCTGTCCGANGAACCCAAGACGACCTCGCCCCGGGAGAGACATCGCAGGGAACGGAGCTTACAGTCATCGTCGCCTCGATCGTCGTCGGAGTCTGCTGCGTTCTCATTCTCGTCGGAGTCTGGTTCGGTCTGTCCGACAAATCTTCCATGTGGGAATGGTGTAGTATTCAGAGTTTGTCGTTCCGTTGCGACTTATGCAGTGGATTACCGTGATCACTTATTAGTTCTGTCGTCGTCGTCGCGTAGAAATTACTATGAAATATTAGCAATCATCACGATACTCATCATCGTAGCCAATATTTATTCATTCACATGAACTCATTCATTGCTTCCTCATTTGCATCTATAATATGCTCTTTCACTTTCAGTTCCTTTTCTTTGGGTTCACGTTTAATTACTTTTTTTTTAGGATTCTCTAATTAACAGTAAGGCTTTCCATAATTTTTCGAGTTAAATTAATTGTGAACAACGGGATTTTTAGGGTTCAAGAAGAGGAGAAAGAAGCCGAAGAGGACAGACGTGGAAAGCAACGGACAATCGGCGAGAGCACCGACTTTCCCCGATACCTGGTCGTCCACATCCTCGTTCCTCTTTCAGGGAATGTCCCACCCTGTCCCCGTCCGCGACGGACCCCAACAGCTTGATGTAGGTGGGCCTCGATTGGAAATTATCCTTCATGGAGCCATTTATTGCAAAAATGCGATTTTTAAGCACGTGTGCGCTTGACTGCAGAGGTCCCAGCAAAAAAAATTATGATATACGGCGCTAAAAAAAAGCGATTAGTTTCTTTCTCGATTTTTTCTTCCCTGTCGTTGTTGGATTTAGTAGGATTGTTTGGGTTGTTATTCTATTGCACTCATTCGTTTCCAAACAACGAAAACCTGAACACGTCGTGAACAGTTTGTGGGGAAATTTGTTTGAACATCTTTGCAGGAATGGAGGCTCTCGAGAACCGAAAAGGAAGTGAAATTGCTCAGGAGGAGACGCCGCTCGTAGTACACGGATTCATTTCCGGAGACCCAGAAAGACTTCTCAAGGCACAACCAGAGGATTGGGAAGAATATCAGAGCAATCCTTGTTCGGCGTACAAGTATGCAGCACTGTCAATATGGGTTTCCTCGTTCGGAACTTTGTGGTATCCGATCGGAACGAATGTATGAAAAGTCTGAGCATGTTCTGTCTCTTTCCAGTAATGTGTCGCGGGTCGGAAACGGAAACGAATCGATTACACCTCTAGCCCTTTCTACTAACGTGTCTTCCATGTCTACGACGAGGCCAACACCCTTTCCTCCATCTTCCAGCCTGTCATCCTCTCCTTCACCCTCCATCCGCTCACCGTCAGCTCCTTCACCCTCGACTCCGACGTCCTCTCCTTCACCACCAGGATCAGCGGGAAGGGAACGGGAATTTGGGAGGCAGTGGAGATCTACCACGTCCGAGAGGCACATCCAGGAGACGGAATCCCTGCTCTTCTTGAGTCTAATCACCAGATCTTGTTCGTCTCGGTTTCGTCGCCAAGAGACCAGTCAGCACCCGTGACAGTTAATCCCCAAATTCGTCTGGATCTTTCTCATTCATTTTCTCGCATTTCTTTTATCCCTTTCGTCAACGAGCTAACGGTGTCGATTTTGATCCTGCTGTTTTCATCATCTGTCAATTTCTCTGTCTTGCATATATCACTCTGCTTGATTGCTAATAAATTTGTTTGCCCATTTTCACCGTTGTCTTCTTTTGAAACTGAGAGGGAATGGCTGCGAGACATTGGGAGCGGCGGTGCACATAGATGGCAGATGTAGAACTCAACCGGTCTCCCTCGCACCGGTGATTTGTCCCAACAAATGAAAGTGATATGTTCTTGAAGCAGACATGAGAATGGAACTGCAACACCCTTGAGCAGCCCGTCTGCGACGGCTGGCCGAGTCGATGAAGGTGCAGGAAAAAAAATGTTTGAGCAAGTTTTTGTTGAAAAACACTGCTTTGATTCCATGGAGATGTTGTATTCGAAATGTTCGCAATCTTTGGCTTGGAAATTTTCAGAAATGTATATCCTTTCCCAGCAGTATTCTATAGAGACTTGAATTTAAATTCTACAGCGAAAAAAATCCACGTTGTTTTTGCATCCACTAACATTTCCACTAGACCAGCTTCCTGAATTATACCAATGTTTCCCCCTCCTCCTCGACTTCGTCTTGAGCGAGCCGTCGGATAACCTGACGATTTCACCGTTCATGCGACACTTGCCACCAAGGGCCTGCGGCTGAGGCGGGGAGTGGGAGGGGGGTGAGACACGAGCATTGGACCATAGTCCATCACCCTCTCCCACCTAGGTTGCGTGTACGACCAAGGTAAGAGGAGAGAATAAGAACGCGAGGAGGAGAGACTCGGAGCGCACCTATGCTCCTTCGCGCAGCCGGATTTTCTCTCATTGCAAAAGCCAACCGCAGCCATCGAAAAACGACCACTGTAAGTGTCAGTGCGAAGCGGTCTGCCCTGCTACACATTTTCCATCTGTTTTGTCCGACTATTTAGTACCTACCTATATATGAAACAATAATTACGTACAAATTTGTGAGATTGATTGTGAAATGAAGTGAAGAGGATGGCAAATGGTTTATAGAGAGACTAATATACATATCCAGAGACTTGGGACAACTGGGGCTCTAAGAAAGTCCATGATTTTCTATTTTCTCTTTGGCGGATGATAAGGAGCATTTGATCATTCAAGTACGGCAACTTGCATCTATCTGAAATTCTGCAGATGTTCCTACACAGACTATCACCTAAGAGTGAAACTTCGTCTCCTTGGTTCTTTTCTGCCTCCGAGAATCTTCTGTTCCTTGATCCATGAGTCCGATGCAGGAAAAGTCATGCAACGCAAAATGTATGAAAAGAAATTCCCTTCTCGCGAGAGTTCCGCCATGTGTTGTGACTAGGGCTGTCACGATAGCAGTTTTCAAAACATCGATGCATCGACCGAAACTATCGATAGCGTATCGATGCATCGGGGAGAGGGGGGGGTGACGGTGGGAATCTCCCACGGCCACTGCCACGACAGGAGGGGCAGGGCATCGAGAGGCCGCATCCACTTCNGGGGGGGGGGGGGTTCGCCGGAGGATTCCATCTTTTCTCGCCGCGATCGGAGCGCGGACCTCTATCTGACTTCCATAATCTCACGGGCATCAGGACAGCCCTAATTTTTTCTTATTGCCGTTGAGAAGGAGCTGCCAATCCCCGTTCACATAATTTTTTATTTTTTTTCCGTTCTTTACTGTCTTTGGACATCGGCACGGGCAGATAGGAAACCTGCTGATGGTGCCATACCGGCGGTTGCCGAAACATCGGTACAGCCCTAGATTAAAGCAACGTCCATGTAAAATATTCACTTTGAGTTCACCTTAAGTAGAGATAAAACGTCCCAAGACAAGTTACAAATTAAGAAAGTTAAGTCTGCATACTAAAGAGATAGGAATATAGAGGGGATTAACCAACGTGCGTTTCGAAATCAAGGGAACATAAGAACAGTCCACTTCCGCAGCATGCACCGGCTGAGATCGAGCCGAAGACAGAAACAGAAGATAAAAATATATTCTCGGTCTTCCCCCCTCTCCTTTCCCACTTCCTGTCTCCGATCCGACTTTTCTTTCCCTTCCCGTCTTTCATACAGTCCCAGTCCCAGCATTTCCAGAATTTGATTGCGATAAGAAATCGCAAGCCCATGCGGATCACGCCACTTCTTCCTTTCCCCGCCCAGACGGACTGTATTGTACTGTACTCGCTTCAATCCAATGGGACATTTCCCTTTAAAATATTTTGCCGATGCATCGCGATGGCCGAAAAAACTATCGATATCTCCGACTATCGATAGTGGTATCGATGCATCGATCTATCGTGACAGCCCTAGTTGTGACAACACGTGCACGGCTACTGTTTCTTTCCATTCTTCCGTGTCCAACTACAATGCTATTACGTGGAAAAGGCCATTTTGATATTTAGAAAAGTCGAAGGAATACAGAGGAAAGCCACCACATGGAGTCAGTATGCATCTGATTCTTCAATAGGAAACCGATGAAGTGGTACGAGTGCCAAACGGAATGAGATATTAACCTACCACAGCGAGAGCTCGGAAGGTAATGGCTAGAACTGCGCGAAGTCGTCTGGATTTGTAAAAATATATGATTTGACGGCGCATGCGTATTACATAGGTGCGCTGAGTACTTCAACCCCCATGTGACTACCCCCTGTGCACTACGTGGTCCGGTGAGGGCCATCTATTATGCACCCTCAACCGAGCAAGGAGTACTTGGTCGCGAAAATCGAGGTTGCATCAGTCCTCTATGTATCTCCCGCATTCAGTCTCCAGCCGTGGTCACCTTCTAGGAATGGTTGGAGAAGCGGTGAATTCGTTAGATAATGCGATGGAACGAGCAACTTGAACTCTCCCTTGACTTGCAGAACTGAAATGTATTCCAAAATCACAGATATAGAATCATGAAAAATTTTTGAAAATCATTTTTCAAAGGCTTTCCCTTTCCTCAACCCCAACCTTTACTTCACTCCCCACCCCTCTTCTCTTGGGAACTCACTAACGTTAGACCTAACGTTGGGACTAACCGACGGACTATCTCCGGGTCAGGCCTAGACATACCTTTTTTGTTCAAAAGAAACTCAATCCTCGACTTACGAGACCAATTAGGCCTATAATGATTAATCCCTTGTCTTCGAGACATCTCGACGAGGACGTGTAACAATAGGCCAATCGCATGCCTGTTCAATCTTTCATGGCCCTTTTAAGAGAGGACGTTTGACGTCAGACCAATTAGAGGTCTTTTTTTAGTTTCTTGAACCATTTTAGAGCGGACGAGGAACGTTAGGCCCATCTAGAGTTCCTCGAACCGTCTCGACTAGTTCTGAGGAGAGAATGCCCGTGGGAAGCATGAAATACAACCTGGACGCCATATTGTTAATTTCGGGGTGTCCGAATGAGATAGCTCCACGTCCCATCAAATCGGTCGGCCACTGCTAACCATCGTTTCAATCTCAGCTCAACTCATGAATTCGGTGCAAAATTGTCCTATACATAAAAAAAAAAAAGATCCAGATACCGATACAAAGGTCGAAGTCATGAATGCGACATAACACCGGCACGATATCCGACAACACTGGGAGACGGGGGCGGAGTATCGCTAAGCCTAATTGAGCGACAGCTAATTTCATTTTTTTTTTAAATTGCGAAATGGTGCACTGGAAGCAACAAAAAGGACACTTTCGTCACCTACAAGTCAATATCTTTCGTTCGGTTGGTCTCTTTCCTCTGAAAACCCCCCAGGAGAGGCGACCCGAGGGGGAGGAAAAATTAATACCGGAATTAGATAGAGCTTCAAATTTGCTGGAGCGATTCTGTATTCGGAGAGGAAGAAGCATGCCGAATTTCATTTCTGTTGATGCTCTCGGAGAGGAATACGAGGAGGTTCAATTTTATTACTGGAAGGGATTGAAGAAAGGTAATAGGCGTTACCAAAGCCTATTGTTCACGCGTGAGAATCAGTCGTGATGCGAAAAGCGCGAAAGGACAGCCGAGATTTCTTGCTGACCCTCGTGGCTAAGAAATGCTTTAAACCCTCGGAATGCATACGGAGAATGCCAAATGGATTCCCAGAGATAGCGGCCAGTTGCAATCTGGGGAAAAACTCGTGTTATTCACGCCCGCTTCGCGATTATCTGGTCTGCCCTGTCCCCTGCCCCCCCCCCCCCCCCCCCCCTCCCCTTTTCTCTTATTCCGTTTCCTGTTCCATCTCCATCGAGGAGTTTTATATGATAACATGCCACACTTTTCCCTGAGCCGTCTGAGTCACTTCCCGCCTCTCGGGATTCATCGCGTCGCTGCAACGCAGTCTCAGTTACTGCGTAGAATCACAAACGGTTGTGTCGATGTAGAGCGGGATGCGGCGTTCGGAGAGGAATGTCGGCATCGTTTCGTTACGAGTCGGGGCATTAATTAGAATTAATTACGGACCGCTCTCACTGTTGCATCTAACCAGTACCGTCAATTGATTTAAGTACAATATCGGAGCAGAGAAAATAAGACCATTACAATTACAGCAGATCATTACAATTACAGCAGATCATTACAATTGCAACAGATTGGGAGTGGGTGTGAATCGATCGGCGTCTCTGATTCTTCAGTCTTCGGCACAATCTGCGCGTTAATTCGCTCAATTTTGCTGGTGATCGCCCGTGACCATTTCTGGATTACCAGATCTGGATCACTCATTAAATGAGGAACTCGACGAGAACAAGAGGTTAATTTCGCGAGGAATTTTTTTTCGTCGCCGCGTGATTTGGTGCCATTTCACCTCGTTTTGAGAGTGCTGTCGATGATTTGGTGAAAATCGCAGGTTCTCGCTTGGGTAAACGTTCGAGGAAGCGGTCGTATCGCCCTTGGAAATTTTCCAAAAACCGAGAACGGGGCGAATCACGTCGGGAAGCATTTTCCCGCGGTTACGATTCGAAGCTCCATGAATTTCGGCGGCAAAAGTAGGTCTTTTCGCTCCCGTCGTCGCATGCTTCAAAGCCACTTTGAAGCCACTTTGAAATCACTTTGAAGCCACTCGATGGAGCAGCGGCGCCGAGCCACTCGACCAGAACGACGACCGTGTCGTCTTCGTGTCGCCCTCGAGCCGATAAGCCTCGTCCGTCAGCTTTGGCCGCGGCGGAACACCACAGAGATTAGTGTGCTTACAGGAAAATCATGTTGATGCATTTAGGCTTTACGTACCGTGCAAATACGCACACTCAAACATGCATTTCATCAGACGTGATCGATAAGGAACTCATTTATTTATCCTGATGTTGTCGCCCGTCGGATCGGATGCCCATATGCAAACGACCTCATCATTCGTGTCAGATTTCGGATCGCTTCGTGCAGCAACGAATCGACACAATCTTCAACGATTTGGATGCGGACTTGCGAGTGAGGTTCTTCGTCGCCCGGCCGCGCTGAATCGAGAGTGACTCCGTTCCGACGAGGACATTGCAAACGGTACATTTTACCCGTACCGTACTTTCAACAGGAACGTCTCGGAACGTCTTCGTGCGACGAGAAGAAACGCGGTTTCTGCTTGCTGCCGAGGACCGATAAAAAGTTTCCTCCCCGCAGCGTCTCTTTCCCAGTCCGGTCGCTTTTTCGATGCAGGCTCGATGCGTGTAATGTACAGTCATCCCTTTCGGGAAGCCTCGGAAGGAGGGCCCTCCTAGATGGGACGATCGGTTTCTCTCTCTCTTCATTGGTGGAGAGACAAATCGTATGATGAAATATGGCGCGAGCGACACATCCTTGCATGTCGCAAGGACTCCGCACAGTCTGCTCTCTTCGGTCCGAGGATGTCTTGTAATTGTGGAAAGCCAGGATTCGCAAAGTGTTCGCAACGTTCCATTTCTGCCGTGACGCGGGGATTTTCGGCTGAGACACCTGGTCCTCCCTGACGTGAGTTCTCGATTCGGCTTCCGATATCAGGGGTGAAGACGTACCATCACTCTTTCAACACTTTCATGATTTCAGCAGAGATCTTATGAGAAGCTGTTCGCCAAAAATGATCGGATCTTCGATGCATCATCTTGCCATCGCTCTATGCCTCCTCGTGAGTTTCTTTCCTTCCTTTTTTTTCTCATGTCGGTGGTTGTTGCAGAGGAGTGAAAATGGAAGACCAGATATCAACAGTTAGTTGTCTTATCAATACACGGCGTGATTTGTTTCTGGTGGGGCATATTTTCCTCTGTCTTGCTGTGACCCATTTCGCAAATACAAGGGTGTAAGAAAAGTCTCTACTCGTTAACCTGGTCCGCGACAATCGTCTTATTGTAAAACAAAAATTTCATTTCGTGTGTTAACATATCTAAGTTATTCAAGATGGCTGAATTGTCAGTCGACTTTGCAGGAGCGCTTGCACCAATAAGTCCCGTCTGCGCCTCTCGAAGGCTACAGATAGCCTCTCTGCCAGCATTCATAGAGTGGACAGGTCGGGCGTGGATGACTCAGGGTTATCCAGTCCAATCCAACCGGATCCCAAAGGCTGCGTCCAACTCGGAAGGTCGTGCAAGGGTCTAGCCCAAGGCCAAGTGTGGCTTAGGCGTGGGGCACGTTATTGACAAAAAGAGCCAAGTTAGTTTGTTTGCAGTGGCAGCATGGCACCTACGTGGGGCGTGATTGGGCCACTCTGCTTTGTCCGCTTTTTCTACGGCAACCTGCTACAATGGTGGAGACATTTCTATCTACAGTGCTAGTACTGCTGGAACTGGCATAACCCCCTGCCCAAGCATGAGTCTGAACCACGGATAGGCAGGAGACTTAGGATAAGACAGGAATTGATATGGGAAGGTCCATTCCTTTATGGTCTATGGCGTATACACAAATTCAATCCCCAATTTCCTCATGATGAATTGAATACGCAGAGACCATCAGTGATGTAAGACACCTTACGTATAAGGTTACCCTGTATAAGTAAACGGTTCTTATCGGAAATATGAGTTAGTACATGGCCTGACCATGAATCTATCTGGAATAAGAAGATAAAAAATGCCGAAATGTCCGCGTTTATCGATTCTTATAACGAGACTAGGCGAGACATATGGTGAGGTACTAAACACTCCTGTGAGAGAAGATTCCAAGGAAAGAGGGAAGAATACTTTTGTGTACTGTGCGAAAAGCAAGACCCACACCTCCTACATTTTGGCATGAAGGAGAACTTCATTTCCCAAAAACTTACAATTGCATTTTTGGCTCATTGGATCATCACGGTCATTTTTGCGGTATGCTTATCTTATGCTCAAAATGATGCGTACGGTACTCATAAGGGCTTCAAAGCATTTGGAAAAGCTTTCACTAACATTCGGTCGGATTGCACTTGGGCGTCCATGTCCGCCAAGTGTGGACTAAGAGTGCAAGACCTTCCTGAGCCACAGATAGTATAGCCACTGAAGAGTCACAGTAACGCCACAGCTACCACAGATATGACGATCTATGGCCACACGTACACTGCTGACTGGGATTGCTCGAAGCTGCATTCGCCGTTCCGAAGGAGATCTTTACAGCCAAGAGGTATTTGGCTTTATGCTTCGGCAGCTGGGGTCAGTGGAACCAGGGGGAGGATGCACGAACGCCAAGGAATTCTGCAACATGTTCAACAGGAAATCCGGTGGATCATCTTGCCCAACGTCGGATCGGCAATGCGGATCGTGCTTGGACGGGTAGGGGCCTTCGTGATTAAGTCACGCATGCGATCTCATTCGACAGGCGTACCACAACTCACGATCTCGATTCATTTTTTCAAAAAAGGTACACATCGGAGGAGTGGTCTGGAGGGAGGGAGGTGGACGTGTGTCGGCCGACCGGATCGTCCGAGTCCGACCGGGATCCCGACCGTCCCAACGACCTTGCCTCGGGAGAGACATCGCAAAGTCAAGGAGAAGGGAAGATCGAGAGCATCGTCGTCCCGATCGTCGTCGTCGTCTGCTGCGTTCTCATCTCCGTCGGAGTCTGGCTAGGTCGGTGCAAGACGTCCTGTTTATTTAGAGTCTGCCGTTCCGTTGCGACCAAAGCAGCGGATTACCACGGTCGTAATTTCTTCGTGCTGTCGTCGCCGTAGCGAAGAAGTATAGTCATTACGATGAAATATCAGCAATCATCACGTCTATATTAATTCTTTTATATGAACTCATTCATTTCTTCTTTTTTTGCATAAATAATTTGCTCCTTCACTTTCAGTTCCTTTCTTTGGATTCACGTTTGCTTTCCTTTTTTTTAAGGCTTCTCTAACAAACGGCACGGCTATCCAAGATTTTTGGAGTTAAATTAGTTGTGAACAACGTGATTTTTAGGGTACAAGAAAAGGAGAAAGAAGCCAGAGGGGACAGACGCGGAAAGACAAGGAGAATCGGAGGGAGACGCGAACATCCTCGATTCTCGGTCGTCCACCTCTTCGTTCCGATTCGATGAAACGCCCCTGCTTGCCCCCGCCCACAATAGACCACAACAGCTCGATGAAGGTGGGCCTCAAATGGAATTTATCCTTCAAAGAGCTATTTATTCCATGCGATTTTCCCACGTGCGCACATGGCTGCAGATGAGCGTGTAACAAATTCCGATTTGACGTCTTGACAAAAAATTATGATGTACTATGACACGCATATATCAAAGCAAGTCGTTTATTTCTGAATCTTTTAAAATCCTCTTTTGTCGTTGGATTTAATAGGATTGTTTGCGTCGATATTCAGTTGTATTCGTTCGCTTCCATGCAAACAAAAAACCTGAACTGCTATTAATCTGACTTTATTTAATCAGCTTGGGTGAATGACCTCATCAATTTCACTGAAAGTTTTACAAAAGATCAAAAGTGGGAAAGTTGCATGCTTTCTGAAACTCATCCGCCTGTGCACGCCGTGAACAGACTGAAGAGAAATTTTTTAAATCTTCATTCCAGGAATGGAGGCTCTTGAGAACCGAGAAGGAAGTGAAATTGCTCGGGAGAAGAAGCCGTCCGCAATTCATGTATTCATTTCCCAAGAGGCCGAGAGACTTCTCAAGGCACAACCAGAGGATTGGGAAGAGTACCAAAACAATCCTCGTTCGGCATACAAGTAAGCAACATTATCAATATAGGTTTCCTCGTTCGGAACTCAGTGGTATTCGATAAGAACGAATGCGTGAAGAAAAATCTGACCATCTTCTGTCTTTTCCAGTAACGTGTTACGGGTCGGATACGAAAACGAATCGATTACACCTCTAGCCCTCTCTACTGACTTGTCATCCATGGCTACGACGAGGCTTGCCAGTCCGACACCCTTTCCTCCATCCTCCAACCGGTCATCCTCTCTTTCACCCTCCAACCGGTCATCCTCTCCTTCACCCTCCATCCTCTCATCGCCAGCTCCTTCTCCCTCGACTCCGACGTCCTCTCCTCCACCACCAGGATCAGCCGGAAGGGAACGGGAATCTGGGAGGCAGTGGAGATCGACCACGTCCGAGAGGCACTTTCAAGAGACGCGAACCTGGTTCTTCTTCGGAGGTCAATACATCAGGTCTCATTTTTCTCAATTTCGTCACCAAGAGACCGGCCAGCACTCATGATAGTTACCGAGCGCGAAATTCGTCTTGATATTTCTCATTGATTTTCTGAAATTTCTTTTATCCCTTTCGACGACACGCGAACGTTGTCGGTCTCGATCTTGCTTTATTTGACGCTTGTTTTCATCACTAAATGCATGTATCCATTTGTTTGATTGATAATAAAAGCTATTTGCAGACTTTCACCGTCGTCTCTTCTGAAATTGGGAGGGATAGGGAGATTGGGCGTGAGGACGCACATTGATGACAGGTGAAGAACCAAACCGGTCTCTCTCACTCTGGCGGTTTGCCCCAGCAAATGAAAGTGATTATATGCTTGAGGCCCTTGAATTTGAATCTATTCCGGAGTCCGGGATTTTGCCATAGTTTAGACAAATAGTTAGTTTGGACAAATGAATTGTGGAGGAAGTTAATGAATTTTATGGAATTGAAGATATTTCCTATTTCGTGAGATCATCAATTGGGAAGACGATAAGTTTCGTCCTTCGATAAAAAAAATCCCGAATGATACAAAAAGGCACGCGTAGATATCACGACTAGAAGTCGATAATAATCCCCTTTCGTCAATTTGAAACATACAAACCCCGTTCGGCCGTCAGAACGTTTTATTCTGGAACGGAATATGAAAAGAGAGATAGAGAAGGAATCGAACGCATCGACCAATTTGAGCCATCATAGTACCAAGAGAAAGAAAACTCACGAATGCGTCATACTCTACCACTAGCTGCCAGGAGTGTGTTGATTGCGCGTGTCCGTGGCGCCATCTCTGAGGCGTCCCTAGAACCTCCCTGTCCTTTCAGACTCAAGGTAAATCGAAGACGCTCTAGCTCACAAGTAAGGACGACTCATAGATACAATGATAAGCTGTGATGTAGCCATCTTTAGTCCATGCTAAGGGTCCCGTTCCTCCTACTTCCTACTACTTTGCATTGAGATGCCCGGGTATTCGGTCCAAAATTCCTCTAACAGGGGCAGAAATGGACTCCATTTGTTCAAGTTTCCCTTAGATTGGAAACGACGTGATCGGCGGGCATAGAGTTTTAGGTGGGAAAGTCCTGGCAATAGAGGCCATGGTTTGAACTGAGCTTTGAAATGCTCTTTTTGTTCGGGCCTAGGCCTTGCTTTTCCTTGCAGTATTCTTATTTATTTATTTTCTGGATTACACTGAGCTTTTAAATGCTCTTTTGTTCCGATCTAGGCCTTGTTGATCTTGTTCATTGCAATTTTTCTAAGATTTATTTTCTTGGTGGCAGTTGAGTATTAAATATGAATTCATGGATCGGATAGTATCTGTAGTGTAGCCTTATGTTTTGCCATATGTTTTGTTGCTTGGTGCTTATTACTTTGATTTGAAGAATTTCTTCAATGCCACTGTGATACATGATCTTATGATCACATTGAATGATGCAAAAATAAAGGATTGATGTTATTGACCATGGAATATTTCTGAGGAAGGTGAAAACTATGGTGTAAGGAGAAATGTACATGAAAAGTTTGTAAATGCTTGAAGAACAGGCAACAGATAATTACCATCAGTGCCTGTAGATTGATCCATTAACAACTGAGTGTGGGGCACCTTAGGGTTCGTGGTTTCATGGTTGTTTAGTGGTATCACGAGGCGATAACACCCATAGGGATAACACGTGTTGAGGTAGAGCGTTCCTTAGTTTTAGGGTAGGCCTACACCTCTTAAAGCTAATTTTTTTTGTGAGTTTTGTGATTTTTTAAAATAGCATATCCAACTAACTTATTGCCTAGTCCCTTAAGTCAACATTGTCCCCATTCTTGCTTGCCTATAAAAGCATCTAGATTCTTCTTTAAAATAGTCACGGAAGGGGCAGCCACTACTACGTCGTCTGACGGATTCCACTCGCTTACCACTCTAAAAGTAAAAAAGTTCTGTCTTAACCTGAGCCGCACCTGCGGTTTACGCAAATTGAGTTGATCACCTCTCGTTCTCTTGCTGCCATCGAACTGGAAGAACCTACCACGCTCGACATGATCTATTCCTTTAATTATCTTGAGAGCCTGATGAGAGGATGAGATCGCCCCTCCTTAACCTTCTCTCTCTCTCGTACAGTCCCAGCACTTCTAAACGCTTCTCGTACGGAAGTCCCCTAACCTCCTTTATCATTCTTGTGGCCCTCCTCTGAACCCCCTCGAGTGCCAACAAATCACCCTTTGTAGGCCTCTAAAACTGGATGCAATATTCCAACTGGGGTCTTATCAGCGTCGCATACAACGGCAGAATAACGCGCGAAGTCCTACTTGATCGAATTTTCGCACCTTGACCGAAATCGTAATTGAGAGCGACATCTCACTTTACCACCAACAAATCCAGTCATTTCGGGCCTTTTTCTTGGCCATCACAACCAAAGATCGAATTTACAAATGGCTTTGTTTCTCACTTTTTCAGTTTCGAACAATGCTTGAGTTTTTTTTTCAGTTTCGAACAATGCTTGAGTACGCTTGTCACCCCATATTCTAATAAGTGCTGTTGTTTCATCAATCGAGTAAAAACGCCTTACACAAGGCCTAGGACCATCACAACTCTTCCATCTTCCAATCCTTTTTCACAAGAAAGACACAAGGTCTCCGTCGGTAACTGCTGCGCCATGTCTCCCAAACAGATGAGGTGGTAAAGCTAAAAATATATCAATACAATGGAGCAATTGTCCACGTGAAATATACACGGGATCATTTATGTTTAGTAAGGAGCCATCTTTGACGACAGACGACAGGGGGGCCTATGGCAGCGTGACGTCAGTTATAATCGAAGTTATTATGATCGGGTTACCTGATATTTGGGTGCAATTATTAGACCCAGATCGAGTTATGATATTTCGATCATAATCGAAAAGTATACTTAGACCGGATAAATGACAGCTCGGGAGCAATGCACGTCACCCACAAGCAGATTGGCGCAATACACAAGCCAAAACTCTCTATTCGTATTGCCTCCCTCATATCGTCATCTCCATTCCTTTCCTATTTTTCTTCATTCCTTGAGTTTAGCATCGTGTGTCAATGTATACCGCAATAAGGAAAGTATACATTTGCAGTTGAATTCCCTGGGGGAAAAATGAATATGCCTGCGGTTGGCCTAACGTTACACGTCCTCGACGAGATGTCTCGAGGACCATGGATTCACCCTTACAGGAATAATTCTGTGGTCGTATGACAGAAAAAGATAAGTCCGCTTTTGACGAAATTGAGCTGACATCATCACCATATAGAGTGAGTCATGATCCATATTTTGGTCAAACGAGATGGTCGAATCGTCAGGGAGGTGAAGTGGGGAGGAATTTAAAAATCTTCCCCCTGAGAAATTGCGAAAATTGACTTATGGCCTTCTGTCATACCACAACAGAATTGGCCCAGTAATTCGAAAATTGAGTTTCTTTTGAAAGAAAAAAGGTAGGCCTTGGCGTGACCTGAAGGCAGTCTGTTGGTTAGGCCTAAGCCTAACGTTAGTGAGTCCCGTAGAACAGGGGGAGAGGGGAATGAAGAAAAGGAAAGCCATTGAAAATTGGTTTTCACATTGCTTCAAACAACGATAGACCGATTTGGACATACACTGACGCACGGAGCTAGTGCAAAAAGGGACATGGCCATTGAAATAATGGCATATGAGCTCTGATGGCTTCTACGGCAGGCCAGACATTCGCTTGGCTGCAGTGCGCTTTCTGGCGGATTTGTGTGACTAACAGCGAAGTGGGAGACCTTCGCTGTTGGTCACGCATTTCCTGGTTCACCATCTTTCCACTTTTTGACCCAACGACGCACAGTGCTCTCGTCAACACATTCATCACCATAAACAACCTGCATTCGTCGATGAATATCAATCGGAGTCACTCCATCCGCGGTCAAAAATTCGATTACAGTACGTTGCTTAGATCGCGAGGACGAGTGGTTCATGGGTTGCCTCCATTTCAGCTGCAACGAAAAAACAACCGTTCACTGTAACGACTTGCCAATGACTGAGGCGCCAGACAATGAGTCACAGAACGTGTCAAAACTTGTTTCACGCTACTAGCGCTATCTGTTGAAAAATTATGGAAGTAGAGGCATTACTTTTCATTCAACTCTCGTACGTTTCGAAATCAAGTGAGTTTAATAACAGTCCACTTTCGCAGCATGCACCTGATGAGATCGAGCCGAAGACTGAAACAGAAGATTAAAAAATTCTCGATCTTCCCTCCATCTCCTTTTCCATTTCCTGTCTCCGATCCAACATGTTTTTTTTTTCCCTCTTCCCGTCTTTCATATAGTCAATCTCAGCATTTTCAGAATTTGTGATAAGAAATTGCAAGCCCATGCGTGTCACACCGCCTCTTCCTTTCCCCGCCCGGACAGACTGTATTGTACTGTACCTCAATCCATCTCCCCTTTAAAATATTTTGCCTAATTATGACTGATATGAGTGTTGTGTGATGATTTAATGGTTTCAATCTGACACCAATTACCAGTCTAATGGTTGAATTCCAATTGTCGTGGCTTGATACATAGAACTCTCAGGATTTTAATCTATCCCAGAATAGCTGCTCTTGGTGCAAGTTGCGACAATTCACATCATTGGGTTAGCAAAATGCACTGCATCCATCTTGGCAGCTCGTTCTGAGCAGAATAAGCAAGATTGAAGCGATTTTTGTATCTATCATGATGCTCTATCATGATAGGTATAAAGGACGTTCATGCATACCAGCAATATTATATTATCGTCAACAATCCGTCCTCGTGTCCCTTCTCATGATTTAACTCTTCTACAAGCCACCTCATTCACGTCTCCATGCATACAATGTGAACTCGACAAGCTTCCGTGCGAAAAGAAACTCACGAAATAGAGCAGACGCTGCAGTAGAATCCCCGACTGAAAATGATGAAGTAAAACCAGGGAAAAACCTTCCAGGCTCCCACCGCACTGAAGATCGCAAAGCCCCCGTTCCAAGCAGCAAGAGGCAACCGGACCTCCACCCGCCGCCTTCCCTTCGAGAGACTGCGAGACCGAATCACGAGGAGAAGATACAGAAGCACCACGACGACCGCAAACGGCATCCAGGAGTCTCGCATCCACTTCCTCGAAGCGTGAAGGTCGAAGTCGAATCCGGGCGATTTCTCCGTCTCGGGTTCTGGCCTGCAATCCATCTCCTCCATTCGGGTATGCAGAAAGAAGAAAAATGTAGAATTTTCAAGCTTGGCCGTCGAAACCACAAAATCACGGTAATATGAGCCATCTCATTTTTCGCTCGATCGACAACGTATGGAAAAATGCATTTACGAAAGTGAAGGGCAAAACAAAGAACTTTCTCGAGAATTTCACCTACTCAAGATGACGAAGCTGTTTCGAATTCATAAAAAATGAGAACGCCAAGGAATTCAAGTTCCTGTTCGACCTGTATTTTACATTCTGAATCCAATCACCATAGAACTCTGAACTTATTCGCAAAGTAATTGTCCTTGAGCCCAGCTTCTAGACTAACAAAGCAGAAACGAAGAAAATAAAAAATTAAGTATGAGACCGCACATCCGACCAACGTGAAAAGAGCGGGATCCACAGCGCCAAAACCGAATTAGTATTTCATCGAAGTCATTGACCCAGCGTTGCCTTCTACATGAAACGCTGTCACCTTTCACAATATTTCCCCGCCCTTTCCACTCTTTCCAAACGGGGAGAAGAATGAATATTCCGATGAACTATTCAAGATGAGAGGCGAAATAAAATTCACAGGGAGATCCGATTAAGAATGTGAGCCAGAAGGCGACTATGCCGGGAGTGATCGCTCGTTGTTAACGTGTTCTAGACCCAATTCCATTCTCAGCTGCAGCTGGGATTTCTTGGTTCATGGAGATGAGATCGGGAACTCCATCGTTTCCGGTCCGATAAAACTTCTGTCAGCCCTTTTTTACTTGTAATTCCATAGGTTCGTCTCCAATTCAGATCCAGAGGGGAGACGATTTTCGTGGCGTCTTTGATTCTTAGAATTCATCTCGTCTGGGCGGACAAGTTTATTATTATTACGAGGCGCGTCCAGAAAGTAAGAACCGATTGCGCATAGCGGCCGCGCAGGTGACGAGCGCAGTTCCTGCGAAGGTCAGTCGTTTTCTCTATGTCAAGGTGAACACCTGTATTGCGTAGTACAGTGTCATCATTTTTTCCCCATGTGCTATGGTAGTTGAAGATGAATGCGAAAATCGAAAATCCCGCCACTTGTGAAGTGCGATGGGTGGTACGATTTTTAAACGCTAAAAATGTTCGTCCGGCGGAAATTCACAGACAGATTGTTGAAGTGTATGGTGAAGGTGCAATGAACGAAGGGAATGTGAGAAAATGGTGTCGGTTGTTCAAAGAAGGCAGGTCTAATGTGCATGACGAGGAACGAAGTGGGCGCCCGTCTTTGGTTACGGATGATTTGAAAGAAGACGTGAATGCAAAAATTCGGGAAAACAGGAGATTCACAATTTCTGAATTACACGAACAATTTCCACATGTGTCTCGATCTCTGATCCACGAAATTGTNGAAGAAACTGGATGCTTTCATGGACAGGCAAAAGGGTGGGGGGGGGGGGGGCAATGTTGAAGTTAGTGACTAGGCAGTAAGCAACTAGGATACGCTAAAAAAAAATACAAAAATATTTAGCTTTAAGAGGCCGACCCTAATATTAAGGAACGCTCGACCTCGACACGCGATATCAAAATGGGTGTAATCGCCTTTTGATATCACTAACTACCTTGATACCTTGTTATAGGGGTCCGGGAGGGCTATCGAGTTATGATGATCGAGCTATTAGTTATGTGAGTCTAGGTATGGTTTTCGATCGTGATCGAGATATGGTGATATTTCGATCATGATCGAAAAGTATGCTTAGACCGGGTAATTGGCTGCCGGGCGCCAGCTGGTTTTATCTGTAAGGGGGTATGTAGAAAAGCCACCGGGTTCCTTACAGTCAAGTTTACATACTTAAAAAATGTGTTTTGTATCGAAATGTTTTAGATACATGACGGAAAGCCGGGAGACATGCTTCTGGATATTCTTGTTCGTGCTATCAAAAATCCCCGAACTGGGCGACACGGTGTTCCTACTGCTGAAGAGGCAACCCCTGACCTTCCTGCATTGCTACCACCACGCGACGGTTATCTTGTTCACGGCTCACATCTACGTGGACTTCGCGGCGACGGGCATCTGGTTCTGCGCGCTCAACTACGTCGTGCACGCATTCATGTACTCGTACTACACAGTTAGGACCGTGGGGTTCCGGGTGCCTCGGTGGATCGCGAAGGTCATCACCTGCCTGCAGATCTTGCAGATGGTGCTGGGGACTGCTGCCACGGCGGGAGCGTTCTACTACAAAATGCGACGCGTTCCGTGTCAAATGAATGGTGCCAACATCGTGGTTTCCCTTGCCTTATACTTGAGTTACTGGGTTCTCTTCTCCATCTTCTTTCGGAATTCGTATGTTAAAACTGTCAGCAAATGCAAGACTCAGTAAACGAGGAATAAAATTTGTAATCGTGGAGGAATGTAGGCATGGCGATGTACTCGAGGATGTGTGTTGTCGCGATTGTTATATTATTTAAGGCCTCAGAGTGTAGAGACCGAAATCGACCTAAGCTTCCTCTTTCACCCTAAAAGTAGCATCGTCAAATATGAAAATAATGACTTAAGAGAGACGTTTTCCTGCCAAACTACGGAGTATATGTATGTAAATCTGAAATCAATGTGAGGATGGGGGGTTGTTTCTGCGTTCTCAACGGCACCTTCGATGCTTCGATGAATCGGTTTGAGGTTTGAGAATCGCGTCATGCAAAGCGTAGAACTCAACTCATCTGTCTGAGATCGTTTTCTCAAAATGGCACTAATTTAGCTGATTCATATTTCTTTTCCACGTAGCTCGTCCCAAGCTTCGCCACAACCGAGAGTGAAATGAAAAGCGAGCCAGGAGATAAGGTAGAGTTCTGTCGCTGCAAGGTTCACTCACGCTTAGGTACGGCCTTCACAATTGCTTTTCATAGAAAGTAATTTCGAACGAAATTATAGATCGGAGTAACTTCCTGCTGATTGTCTTCATGGACTTCGGCGCGCTCAGTTTGCTACAATTCAACTCTTCTATTAATTTTTTCCTGAAGTCGCAGCATGCTTGCGTGTCACGAACGGTTTTTGTTTTTCAGATTTTCAGACTAAGTTTGTCTCGTCATCTTTTTTCGTGTACTGGGGTGGTGCACAATGAGATGGTACTGTTTTCGCTTTTTCTTTTAATAAATACGCAGAAATTTGATTGGAAAAGTGACTATCGTGGAACAAGGCATTAATTGAATACTAACTAGAGATTCATCCTTTCTATCGGATCGACGTGAATTTCTGAAGAGACCTATTTTCTCGTCTCAGTGCGTACCGCTCTCGCTATCGAGCGGTTGTTATTCCAGTTCCTAACGATCGGATTGCACGATATCCAGCATTGACAATTATCATAAATAATACCTTCAGGGGAGGATACGTTAACGAAAGCAGATTCCTGTGTCACCCTATGATGTCAGTACACAGTGTCAAGGAGGTCATGTGAGGTCACGAGTCTGAATTTTGGATCCGTGCAATTGTATCACCTTTATTTTCGCAGTAATTTCATTAACGAATCATGCATTAACGTTTGTACAGAGTGCGGCACAAAAATATCCCTCATTTTGAAAGCTGATTTAAAAAGTGCTGAAACCGATATCGGTATGACACATACTGATTCATTGATTGAAAACTCTAAGTTTTTCTACGAATCAGTATGTATCCTATACCGATATCGGTTATAGCACTTTTTTTTTATCGGCTTTCAAAATGAGGAACATATTTGTGTCGCACCCTGTATTAACATTTGCAGTACACGATGGATCTCACGGTATCGAATGCCAGAAAATGCGTCCATGCGCCGAACTGCTATGATTGGGAAAACCACGTGAAAGTACCTGATTTACATGTGACAAGAGAGCGTACAACTCGCGTTTCTTATTCCCTCGCACGACACCGTTGAACACGATCTCACGCTCCCCCTTTCCTCGCTGGGAACGGAAGCAGAAAAGCTTTCCATTATCGCCCTGCGTTTACATGAACGTCTCTTAACCCATCAGGTGGGGGTTCTGCCTGGAGTGGGATTCGGAGACCCATTCAACGCGGACTCCCATGATCTAAACAAGATCGAGGAGGAACCATCGAACCTCGCCGTCTATTATTTAGTTATGGGACATGCAGTCCGAAGACCATCGCGCCATCCCATTCCCCCTCATCATATCCTGTTCGAGTTCGAAGATTATACCGGGTGGCCCCCCAAAAAAACGCGGGTTTTTTTGGGCCACCTGGATTGACCCCCATAGACCCTTTAACCCTTTGGGGCCGAGTATTATGGAGAAGTCAGCACCGTCATCCAATTTTTTACATCCCTCATCATGAGGCCAACACGAGATAACTTGGGCGTGGAAGCCGCGTTAAATGTACCCTCGGATGACCAGGCGATTTCACCTTATATCCGACCTTTCAAAGCCGGGCTGCAGGCTGGAGGCAGGAAGTGGGAATTGGGCAAGACACGCGCAATGGTCCTACCAGCCTCACCAGCTCCTCGAACCTCAGTCCCGTGTGTTATGTTAGTCCCGTGTGTTACGTTTGGGCGCTGGTTTAGCCCCCATAAATGCACAAGACAAAGAGAGCATGCGGTTCAACCAAACAGCCCTATCTCCATCTTTGAAAGGTTGGAAAAGTGGTGAAATCACCGGGCCATCAACTGGCATAACAAAGGATGCATACACAAATCAACGAAAGCTTAATGAGTGTTAAAAAAGAAACCCGACTGATCCAATAAGCTCTCCCATAGATACTTTGAAAAGAAAAGCAAGAACTGCTACTCACCATAGTAAACATGTTTTCCGTGCAGGAAATGAAACTAATGCAGCATTCAAAGCGGAGACACTCCTTTCGACATCCACCAAGGACACAAACGGAATAATAGTGCATTGTGAGATGAGCCAGACAGACCTGTCTGGCTCAACTCACAATGATGACTTGCTCAACTTTTTTTCTCTTCCGCCTTGGGCCATGGCCCAGTCTTCCTACCTAGGATAATGAAGTGTTACTTTACCAACCAGCTTGATTCTGACCCCAAGTTCTACAGTAGAAAGAGAGAACTTTTCTCACGGATGTGGCAAGCAGATGTGAGTATTCCAAACGGGAATCAACAGTGAAAGCGAAGTCCCTTTTCCTTCCTCGGACCGGAAAGAATTCAGCAGTGACTTCTGTATTCAACGACCTGTTCATGGAGAGGTATGAATGTGCTCCGCCGCATAAATCGGCAGTGTAAACTTTCACTCTTGCGTCAGCACAATTTGTTCTAGAATTTTTATGCGATATTGTGCCAAAGACACAGCTTGAGCAGCAGCACGATGACTATTGGAGCTGATAATGAATCCAAGCTGTCTCTTGACCTTGTCCCTTTGAATAGAGAAAGATATAATTCAATGGGATTCAAAGAGGTACCTATGTCGGAAGGAATTTGATACATGTAATGAGACATATCGGGGGATCAGTCTTTGGTTAGCAAAGAAGCTTTCCAAAATAAAGACAGCTTCATTTTCAGGTCCAATCGCGGCACCCATTTCATCAAGGAAAGTTTCGGAAGACTTCCGTTTGAAGACCCTCATGCAGCAGCAAATGAATGAGTCCGAGTGGAGGAGAAATAGCAGCAACGAGAGCCATGTTCCCTCATTGCGTATCAACTCCGTCCTCGTCGATTGGAAAATTGGAAAAAGTCCAACAGAGAACTTCAATATGGAAATTCAAATTCAAAAGCGTAAATCCTCGTCTCAGAAATTCAATCACTTCACAGTTCTAGATCTTGGCCGTCGTATTGACATTGACGTCAATATCTCTTTCATTCAACTATTGATAGACCCTGTCCGCTTGCAAACCAAAATTTCCTTGCATTCTAGCGCTCATGAGGAAGTTCCACTTTGTGTCTCTCTCGATCTGATCGGCCATCGTGGAGGCTGGTATTCATCTCTGCCTTTGAGGATGCCCTTTTATGCATGCCGGACCGAAAACGTCCTTAGACATTTTGTTACAGACAGATCAGAAAAGAGAGATCATCCTGAATGAAGTCGTTCTTTCCATGCTGAGGTTGAGAAAGGGACTTTACCTTCCTTTCCTGTCTGGTTACAAAACTCAGGAGGGGGGATGCTCAAGATACATAGGGGGATGCTCGCCCTCTACTCATCGCATCCATGAAGGAGGTTCTTTCCAGCACGTGGGATAAGAATCAAGTTGGTTTGGTTTATTCCACGACGGCAGGCGTCTATGAATGCCGCAAGGACGTGAACTGGGCGTGCCCTCTGGTGACTGGCAAGGATCCTTAGAATGTACAATTTTCGTTTATTATACATTTTGTCGCTTGATTCCTGACGATATATGACGAAGATCGAATATATTCTCCCCTGCTTCCTCCCGATCATTAACGCGAAATCATGCACGGAAATCCCCAAATCCTGATGTCACAAGACGAGAAGGAAAAAATCGCCTGGGCAACCCAGGAAGCAATATCGTTCGCTGTCAGAGTTAACGGTTACGTTCCCCGTCTCGGATTAAGTTTCCCTTTCCGGAAATAGCATTGAAATTCCACTCTCGACTCACGTTATCAAGATTGGCTCGTAAATCGTCTGGGGTGTTATCCTTCACCTTCGCAAATGAATCGCATTTATAAATATATTCATTTCGCGGAATGTGAACGAGGAAAAGATCGTCCGTTTGAGCTAGAGATGAAAAAAATAAATAATAAATAAATGCCAAGAAGCGTGGGAAAGCCCTTTTCAACGAGTTGCTGTTAAGCCATGTCACCGCGGCAAAAAAAAAGAAGAAAAATGGAGAGGAAGAATCATCAGCCGATGATGACAGTGGGAAAGACGCCGAGGGACTTCTAACGGCCCAGTTTTCTTATATTTTCGTTCAATCCTTTTCTGTTCTCCCGCTCCGAGTGCGTGCACTCTCCGATTGCAGCCATGCTTTGTGATGGAATAGATTATTCAAAATGTGTCTCGCTCATTCATGAGTGTTTCGCTCTTTGATATCAGGACGTTTCACGACTTTGTGGCTCTTGATGGTGGGTTTTAGGGGCTGCGTGACAAACGGTAGCCACCACCGAATATCATGTACAGACAGACGAGAGCTTGGCGTAATTTTGTCGCATTTCGCTGTCAGTGAATGTGTTCGGGATTGAAGCGCCAATTCACGTTCCGTTCAAAAGTTCTCGTGCCTTGTTGCTTTTTGTGTCCAGTGCTGCTGAAACATGGGAATAAATACAATTGCTTCGTCCCGTCAGATTTTTTTTTTTTTAAATTGATCTGGAATTTCTATTTCGATTTTCATTACTTTGGCGTGAAAGCAAAGAACACGAAGGCGGACAATGCCATGTTTTTTCTCAGGCAAACGCGGAAGCGAAGAACCTCGTCGTATATTATATATAGTAATATCTTTGAAAGCTTAACGCTCGGTATCCTCAATGATGACCCAAAATCACTAGAGCATTCGTCGCGAAGCAGAATAGGCTCCGGAACTAGTTAGGCCTTGGAACATCCCACGGATTCTTTTTGGGTTGGGTCTAGGCCTAACTTTTTCGTTCAAAGGAGTCTCAACCCTCGAAATATGGGCCAACTAGACCGATGTTGGACCTACCTCAAGTTTCTCGGGCCATCTCGACGAGGACGCCTGCGGACAGACTGTCTCGCTGCTTCCCTCGCTGCTTCCGAAGTTCCGAACGTTGGAGACGATCTTGTCAGGGGTGTCAATGGACGGCACGTCGATGATGGCCACATCGATCGGCCACTGGTAACCACTGCTTCAGTCTCACCTCGTCTCATGAACTTCAGTCAGAAAACGTTTCGTACATTGTGAACAGAAGATTCAGGCACCGCTGTGTAAGCAGGAACATTCTCCGGTCAGAAAAAACTCCAGCGTGACATCCGGCAACCGTGATTATGGGGACCGAAGTCGTCACGAAAAGCGTCATTCCCCAAGGCTTTTCCCCTCCTTTTTTTAATTTTCCACGAATTGGTGCATCGACTGTAATAGAGAGAGCACCCTTCTTGCTCTACAAATCCACGGTGGATTTTCTTTTTCTCCCGGCCGCTCGCAGCTGCTGGCAAAAATACCATCTCTTAGCGTCAGCGCTTGACGCGACCACGTCATTGAAAGACACCACTCTCGGGCAAGCAGCTGTCTGAGGAATATAGCGAATGTGAGAGCGCTGAGCAAGTCAGTGCGAATGTGGTGTCCTGGCGTCCTGGAAGCATCAGTAGAGCCAGTAAAGCCGCTTATAATAAAGACGCACCCTACGTCTTTTTCTCATGGTTGTGGTATCTTCTCCCCAGTCCCCGCAGCTATGACTACTCGAAGGGGGGAAGGGAAAAATTTAGCGGAATAAAATTCGCATAGGCCAGTGCGGCAGTTTTCCACGTAAGTCATGGTCCTAGACTTTTCTCTAGTACAAAATTTATCAATGAGATGACATGATAGGGAGTCTGGGCCCTCAAGCACCGCACACTCGTCATTTCATTTTCACCTAAGCTACCATTCTTCGTTCTAGAATCATCGATTGCATAGCCTTCTCCAAAACGACTTATCTTTCCTTGTCAGAAAGATTATCGCGAAAGGAGAAAGAGGATTAAGAACCTGTGATGGGGGGGGGGGGGGGGGAGGAGCCTTCACCACCTGGATTCCCTGCCACCCGCACGCTTCATCTCCATTACAAGCGGTCTCGCTACAGGATACTCATTGTCTTGCTTTCTTCACTTCTTATCGCTATGCATGTTTTTCATATGCTTTTATCACATATCTAATGTGTAATCGCTTATCGTAATATAATCGTGCGCATGAATAAAATTACCGTTATGGATTGCCGCACATTTTTGCATCAGTTCTCTTCAGAGTCTCATGCGCGAAACAAGTCTTGACTATCTTCGTCCATTTTCTGCACGCTATTCAGGGGCAGATGAGGGCATGAATCCGCTTTTCCGGTTCGTGGCCTCTCTCTCGACATGCAATCTGGGGCTTGGATCGGGTACTTGCAAGTACTTAACCCATTCCGTCTTTTGTGCCTTCGTTTCCGAAACTTCATCGTGTGAATGACATGGGACCATCTGGGAATACCCCGCGCTGAAATCGGAAGTTGTTTCGGCTCCAGGGGCCATATTCTACTCAGACTTAATTCTTAACGAAATGCTCAACTGCGTTCATGCATTTGAATGGGACAAACACCAGCTGAACATATTATTGCAGAGGAAATAGCCCTTAGAAAAATAATGGAACACAACTCCTGGACTTCACCAAGACGTGAATGCAGCCGGGTGACGTCATCGACGTACTTCACGAATGAAAAATGCAATCAGGTGTTTCCATGTGCATTGTGTACTAGGAATGTAGCCGATCCGTAGGCAAATATACGTGGTATTGTTGCTTTGGCTGCACTCAATGAAGATCTGGATGATCTCCATTACGTTCCCAATGCTCTTCCGTCTCCATTACTTCACCGAATACCGATTGGCCGACGTGAAACCGACCAACCCTGACCACTGAACCGATACGACCAAGTGAAGTTGGTCCTTCCCATCAAGTACTTCCAAGTTGTTTGCCTAATATAGAGACCCTGGACGCCATGCTGGCAGGTTTCCATTGGAAGTACTTTTTAGTATGCCTGTAATAAGAAGCCAGCGTGTGAGAGCCTTTAAATCCCCAAAAAGCAGGGCGATACAAGTGTATCGATAAATTGATAAGCGAAAACTGTTCTTGCTTAACTGCCTTTGCTAAATGAGAAAGATCACATTATTGAACTGTAAGTACTAAAAAATACTTAACATTGAATAATGCAATCTAAGAATCCCCCTTAGTCTCCCTGAGGCTACTCCATCAGTCTCATTCGTCTGAAGCCAATTTGAAGGATGGTGACTGAATATCCCTGAAATGAAGAAACTCAGATCACGTTCGACCGAATGGTGCAACGAAACCCCTTCGTCAGCGAGATAAGAAGCTAGCCCGTCTCGAATAAACCCCTCCAAGAAAGACGATCTCCTTTTCTCGAGCCAGCGGAATCGTGAACCTACTTCTACAGAAACAACGAAGTAAGGTTCCTTGGAAGACGTGAGGGCCTCATCGACTTAAAAATCAGTATGGGATCGACTCGAAAGAGAGGCTGCGTCAAGGCGTTCTGCTTTCAGCTTCTTTATCCTTGTTAGTTCCGGTGTCTATCTAGAATTTTAGAAATTTTCATTTTTTTTATTTTATTCAATATATATTCGTTGCCGAAAATCCAGTTTTCTATAAATGTGGACATGCGAAAGAAAGCGGACGAGCCCTCTAGCAATGAATTCCACGAAACCCTTCAAAGTGGCGACGCCGCTATTTAGAAGAGAATAACTGTGCGGAAAAGTGATCGGGACCAAAGGTTTTTGTTGGACCAGACCGCATCGCAAATGCAGACCGTGCAAAGACGTTCAATTGACGGGAATCGAAAGCTTTATTCTTTCGATTTCGATTTTTATTCGACCCAAAGAATTTTCCCTTTTACCGTTCGTTCTCGTACACAGTCCCAATCGATCAGAGGGTCTGTAAAATGTGACGTCGCTTTTCGGGAAAAGAAAGCTTAGAACACAGATTCAAGGCCGGTTTGCACAACGACAATTATTATTAGGCTCACACCGAAGTTTCCACACGCAAAGGGCTTTTGAAAGAATCCTCGAAATCCGCATATTGTGTACTGCCGAAGAGAAAGTGTGAATCCGAAAACACCCGCATCGCAAATAGACCTCTACGGCTCGCTGTAGAGAGGATCAGGGAAGTCGGGGCAGTCGGGGAAGTCTTGCATGCACTCGGCGAAGTTCCGTCCGGCTTGGCCAGCGCCCACTGCAGCCTCGTATCGCTCTGGGTTGCGCGAGTCCAACGTAGAGCAGACGAGCTCCCTGTAAAAATGACAATTCGCTGTGTGAAAACCATTGAATTGGAAAAATAAAACTGTTTGATTTAGAATAGGAATAGGCCATTAAAGTGGCCTCGAACGATCGCACTCCAATAATCGATTTGCAGCTGAACTATGTTCTTCGAAGTTTGCAATGCTGCTTTCAGCTGACCATTGGTCAGCTTAAAAAAAGTTATTTATAATTAAAAAAAACACGCTCGAAATTTCTCTCGTTTTTACTATAACTTGGCGAGTTTCGCTGTCAATCGATTTTTGCTCTTGCCTAGTGAATGGGAAACGGATGAAAGAGCAATCATGAATAAAATGGGCTCCACCTCAGAGGCATAATAACTTGTAGGATATGAAGGCTGAAAGCGATTGGGATCTAGTATCAGATTGTATCAAAACAAAAGACAATGAACGAAGAACACCCCCATTAGCCAGTGTTAAAAATTGGCAACATTGAAATTCAATTCGTGACTTCGCGCTTCAGCAGAATGAATCGGTCTGTAGCTCCCCAGAGCAATAAGAAATACACGAAGCTGAATCGAAGAGCCTTCCAACGACATGTAATTAACCATAATCGCGACACGGATCTCCCAGCAAAACAAAAGGGAAAAGAACCAAGCGACGCGGAAGAAGGAAGAAAAGTCGGCAGATTTTTATTATTATAAAAAAAAGATATGTCCCCGTGTGAAGGTTTGTGCGGAAGACTCACGTTCCGACAGTGGCGATGATATGGCCCGGAGTCCCGTACTCTTCCACCATCCTCCGGTTCGCCTCGCACATCGTTCTCATCGCGCACTGAGGAGGCAGGTCATTTTCCACGCTCTCGGCGTATCTCATCTGCGAAGACCAAATGTTAGCACGTCAAAAAAGCCTAGTGAAAAAAAAACTGTCCGCAGCTGCAGAGAAGACAACAAAATCCTCGTTCTCTTTTTTTTCCGTTTCGCCATGCATCTTTATTTTCTGCTCTATTTGAGGTCAAGGTAAACCTTAAATAACCCAACGTCCCTTTCTCTCTTTCTTTTAATTTTTTTTTTGCATTAAATAAATTAAATAAATTTTCATTGAAATGTTTCCGAGTCCGAGCGGGATGGAGTTCAATGACAAAAAAATGAGTGCCATAATATGATGAAAAATATTAAGTAAATTGAGCATAATGGATAAAAACAAAATTATTATTATTATTCATCGCTAAACGTGAAAATTTTAATGCTAATATAAAATAAGTCTTGAATGTGTCATCTTAAGTGCTTCATAGTCTTATTATTTTTCAATTATATGGGAAATTGAATGCCTCGGTGATCGCCTAGCGGAACCCCAGCTATTACTCCTTGTGCTTCTTTGTCTAAGGCGAATACCATTCACAGGCGTGAACTTGAATGGAACAATTTTGGGCATTTTCTCTTCGCGACGGTTATTTCTCTGCGGGGGTCGCTTCCACTAGCGGAAGTCTGGGAGATTTTTTTCCCATTTGTTGGATTCCCGGGGGATTTTCGCTTTCCTCGTAGAGCAGGAGGAGAGATTAGGCCAGAAATGCAAGAAAAGTTTCCGGAAAAATCTGCGCGCTGGCCTACTTCAACACGTTCGGTTTTCTTCTTCCTTGCTTTTCAGCTGCTGACCGCTACAATCATTAACGTTGGAAAAGATCATTCTCCTTTAAAGATTTTCAAGATTAGATATAGGATTCATTCATCGAAAGAGTAACGGTAGTTACAGAATTACCAATTAAAAAGAATCAGGGAAAAGTGCAGCGGGGCGACACCCAGTCCATTTGCCCATCGAAACCGTTGTATCTGCGAATCGGATCACCGCCTGCAGCATGCAAATTAGGAAATGGAAATGGAACTGACGAGGGCGGGAATGATGACGTGCGGAGCGTGACTGATCCAAGCCAAGCCGCCTCGGAGTCCCGTTGCGTCTCCGAAGCCGGTGATAAAATTGTCCAGTTCGCTCGGCTTGTCGGGTCCGTCGCGGTTGTCCATCATGCGGCTGATCCCCGGCCCGATGGTCTTGATTATTTCAAGCATCATCCCTGCGGATGCCCCAGATACCATCACCATGGCGATTCCCAGCGCAAGCGCGACCCTGAGTTCCATGCTTGCAGTTCCGCCCCGAGTACTTCCTCCTGAAAAGGCCAACGACACCGGTCACTTAAAAGAGACATACGACCGTGATGACAGCGGCTCGTCACGAGAAATTATTCTCGTGAGATTTTCCACGCTCGTAACTTGCATTCATGCTCACGTAGTTAACGACACTCGATTGATGGAAGCGCTGGGGCAAAACGTCCGATTGCATTGGATTTCGCGTGTCATCACCCAACCCAGAGACCTGAAAGTACATGATTCTCCTTCCTGTTTCTTTTCTGACCGTCAAACGAACAGTTCCTTAACAAATCCTGCTCAACCGACTTATTAAAATGTGGTTTAGGTAGAAATAAAGAGTGCGGAGGTATGAGTGCCTCGAGTACACAGCCCTTAGTACTGGCCAAGGACTAAGGAAGCGGGGGTTGGAGGTGGGGGGGGGGGGGGGGATGCCTTTGCCTTTGTTCATTTTTTCTTATTTTTTTTTCATTAATCTTAGCCTAGTTGAGGGGACCCCTTGGGTATTAGTCCACTTGGGTATCAAGTATTTTTTTTGTACTCTCTGAAGTAGTTCAGTACTTAGGACTAGAAAAAATGGCAGAAAATAATGGGAATTCATGCCCTTTGTTCTAGGTGGGTTCGGAATCATGAATGTTCTTTTGAGTAAAATTTGATTAATATAAAAGCCCTGCAAAAGATAACTCCCAGAGGCAAACGAATTCAAGGGAAACTTCATCTGTCGAAATCGACCCAGCAGTTTTTCTTCTGGTTCATACAGTTTCTTTTGGTCATATGGCTTTTAGTAATTTGAAAAATGGATTAGTACTTCTACTTCGAGGCTCCAAAAAAAAAGTAGATTCTCAGATTAAAGCACAGGCACCTGATTTACTGGCAGGGGTCCAGCAGTTCTTGTTCTAAGTAGGCCGTGCGTTATGGATTTTAAATAAATGTTTGCACATTCATTGCTAGATCATACTTGACTATCCCAGAGGGCATTCCCCCAGCATGGGACCAGTACAACGGACTCATCTGTCGAAACCGGTCCAGTAGTTTTTGCGCTGTGCTACTCTGCATTTCGGTTGCCCGAAGAGAAGGAAGATGATGCCTAGGCACGTAATCGAACATTTCTGGAAGTTTCTTTTGCAAATCGTCAAAGTCAACGAGGGGAGTCAGCTTTATTTCCTTTTAAATAATATGTCCAGCTAATATCGTACGAGCCTCAAGTTAAAAAAAAAACTCGCACATGACATCTCAGGGGAATAAGGAAGGCTTCAGTCGAGTTTTTTATATTTATTTTCTTCAGTGCTGCAAGCGAATAAACCTTGTTCATTTAAAATATCGAAAGTCGCAGTAAATAAGGAATTTGCTGCTCAGAGCGGCAGGCGGTTTCAGGGGAGGAATTGGTTTCTCAGAAGTTTCTCGTGTGTTACTTCTTTGCGTTCAGGATGGATTTTAAATAATAATCTCGACTGTTTTTTTTTATAGCTTTTTTGATAGCTTTAAAAATAATTAACTGAAATGCATCTCTCCCAATAGCTGCGTCTCACTTTTAACGTAGTCCCCCAAGATCATGAATTCACACAAGGACGTAAGAATCGCGGAAAACGAAAACCGCATGGATGCTTGAGAGAGAGAGAGAGAGAAATTCTTGATATTGATTTTTTTTATAAAGTAAAGCTACAGAGAAATGTGAAGAAACGATGGTCTTGACTTTTCCTTTTTGCCGCTTTTTGGCTATTTGCTGCCTTAAATGCTATTTGCACCAAAAAGCCCTGATTTTACGCGCACTTTTTAACGCAAGCTTGTGTAGGTCTCGATTCTAAATATTATCAACAGTCACCTAGTCTACCAGTTTACCTTAAAAACATATAAGTTTGATTGGTATTTACTAGGATGGAATGATTCCGCAGTATACTTTGAACATGGCAGTGGCCACTTCCAACTTATGTCGTGAGTCGTGACTTATTGAGACTGTGGCTGTGATTGTCATTTTGCATTTTACAATGTCTTGGTTCTCATATCACCAAGTTTCATGCATATCTGAATTAATGTAATTTTTTAAAACTTGCATTTATTTGTGTTAACTGGTAAAATGAACACCTTTATTTCCACCCTCTAGCTTGAAGACTAGTTTATCGGATTATTTTGTGTGCAGTGTATTGATTGAAACCCAGCCCACCCGATTCATACTCCCCATAATAGAAAGCAACTCCCAAAGCGAAGTAAGACCAAGAACAAAAAACAAAGAAGTGACTCTGGGAGACTCACGTGGATCAAGGACGAAAACCAACCGACGACTGGCGAGGAAGTGAAGGGGAATCGTCTCTTCCACCCTCCGGATCCTCCGGGCCCCTCGACTGCACACGATGGCCCTAACGGTGATCGTCCACACGCCCCGTGCCTCGTCATGCTCTGGGACCAGGCGATCATCGCCCTTCCGGAACGGATCCCGACGATAACGAGTGGTTTGCAATCGTTCCAGTGGAAGCGCGCTGTTATTTTAGACGTTGGTCGATATGATTCGATTGGCTGACGGTATGCGGTGTTTACCTTAGAAGGAATGAACGATCGGTTTTTTCACTTCCGGAAATGAAATTCGCTGATTTTCTGAATGAGGTTGGCAATCGCGGTTCGAGGTCTCCACGACCTTCCTGACGTATATGGGTCCGAAAAAAATTGTACCGTTCTGCTTGATTTCTCTCAGGTTCAAGCAATCTTAAAGAGAATCAAGGTATTCCCAAACGCGTTCCCCCTGAAGAGACACCAAGTCGGGGATCACGGATTTAGGAGAATTCTCGTAACTACGGACACCCTCGCGAATGGATACCCGAGTAACTACCACGAAGCTGGGTTTCCCCTTCGTGCCAGTTTAACTTCAACTTATTAACAACTATTTATCGACTAGTTATGTAGACCATTTCGTAGCCGTGGGGTGACAAGTGATGGTGCGAGGAAGGATATGAATAAGCGCTCTCTTTAACTTTCAGAGCTTTCAACTCACATCACCATCAACTGCTAGGTCGACTGCAACGGGAAGATCTTCCTGTTTCAGTTGACCTAGCCCATTCATTATGAAGAGAATCCATCTGGCTTCACCCGTGCATGCATCGAGTCAGATCTCGCTCATCCCGGCTTCACCCGGGACGGATCTTTACGCTTCGGAAAGTTTGAAACCTTCCACGGCGAACAACGCCCGCGAGATTTCGATCACGGGACGAGATCAAAGGAAGAGACTGCAGTGAAGCACCGTGAATAATGAAGAAGAATGAGGAAGAACGAGGAGGAAGAGTTACCACCTGAGTGGACAGGGCGGGCAGGATCCTCGTCGTAATAGCGAAAATTGAGGGGAAGGACCGTGAGAGCGCTCGCCGCACCGGAAAGCTCATCGGTGCGTTCAATCCTTCGACTAAATGCAATGTCATAAAGGAATTCTCGGAGATGAAAAAAAATTATCATAAAGAAGGGTACCTAAGAAAAGCGTGAATTGGGTGAATCCGCCAAGATTTTATGATGAGCCCATTAACTAATTTCAAAGCCTACCCTTAGGGGCGAACGGGGTCTAACCTCTGATGTTCAGCTATACTTATTTTTGCACTCATTTATTTGTTTACTGCTCACTTTTCAACATTATAAGACTTGGCTGGCATGTAACCCGAGCCAAATCCTATTGGCTTTATATTTTCAGGGTGGAAGGTATTTTCTATGTGTGCGCAATTATGGTATTATTTACAACAATTACCTTCACAGGGTATACTGCTGCATAGTTCTTAGTTCATATGCAGTCCCTTGGACTCTATCGAAGGGATTTTTAGTCGCAGATTAAAAATCCCAAGTAAGGATGGACTTAAACCCCGGTCATGCGATCATATTTGTTCCCGAGTCCACATTACAGCAAAGACGTGCAATCACAATGCTGTCACAAGAAAGCGCCAGGCGAAATGAAATCTCATCCCTCCTCCCCCTCCTCTCTCACCTCTTCCGCCTCTCCCTCCTCTCCCTAATAGGGGATTCTAGGGTATCCCACTGTTTCGCACTATTTCAGAATTTTCCAGTCACTGCTCATCGTAACCTCGCTGTGAAGTGAACAATGATTTTCATGGCGAGAAGCATTAAAAAGGAATTCATTTCTAAAAAATATCTCCGAGTTCAAGAATAGAATACTTTAGCCGGAATAGAAGTGCCAGTTCATAGCTATCTGTGGAATATTTCGCGTTTTCTGACCTAGAATTTTAAATCTAAGTTGGCATCTGATAAGATGGAAGTGAAGGGAAGCAAAAGCGGAAGTTCGTTTTAGGATCACCGAGTATTTTGCTCCTCTACTTTCATGAAGCTTTGAAACGAAATAATACAGTTAAAATGGCTCCCACCGTTCCATATTGCGAAACCAAACAGCTTGCGAATCCTTCGTAATTTGCAATTAACATGAAAGTCATTTGGTGTTCGAATGAGATCAACTCGAGCTGGGATATAATCGTACTCCCTGAAGCTCCTTATTTTTTACATATCAAGGAGAAAACTTTATCATGCCTTCGTACGAGTTGCTCCATTAAATTCATCCTTGAATGACGTTTTCAAGCTGGCCATGCAGGCAATCCCTTGCTTCTCATGGAAGCATTCACGACAGCAGCAATGGGCTTTTTCAAAATCTCTTAGCTTCTCCTCAAGTCCCCCTCGAAAGGCATAAGAAACGCGACCGACAATGGCATCCGAATCCTAAAATCGCCCCAAAGAGGAAGAGACAAAATTTTTTATTGCGTTCTCTTCATCGAACATGAACCGCGCAGTGAGATGGTTCTGGTGAGTGTCCGCTACAACATCCTTCCATTCTTCCTCAACATCCTATCGATTCACTTTTGACCCAGTGGATTGTGGATGTTCGTCTCGGCTCAGGGGAAGCGTGTCAACGGACGACGAAGGGTCCCGATCCGTTCCTCACGTCGAGCAGACTGGAGCCGAAATGCACGAAGAGGAGGATAGCGGTATCCCAGTTGAAATTCTCAACGGAAATGATCGACTTTTGAGAGAATTTGAGGCATTAAGGGATCTCGTCTCGCATCTCTTTCGAGAAGATCAGCAGAACCAGGTCGAATCAATTCCTGCTCCCTTTGCATGTCTAAACGTATCAGCTTCAAAGTTTATTTCTAGTCTCTACGAACGTCTCGTGACAAGAAGGAAGCATTTCCTTTGTCGGTAGAGTACCGAAACAGAGAAGGAGGTTTATGATGCCCTGTCGAAAGCGTGGGAGACCGTGCAGGAGAATCGTGAGAGAATGAGTCGAGCAATGTCGGTGTACGAAGAACAGCTGAAATCGCTCCTTGACACTCATAGCCAAGACCAAGCGAAAATTGCAAATGTAAGCGTTTTTAAAAAAATTTAAAAAAAAAGGTGTTCTCCACAAATCTACACATCATTGATAAACTCAAATGTTCTGCGGTGACAGCGCACAGAGACATAACACACAAGACACTAGACAATGTTATCGAAAACACTGCTGTATTTTGCAAAGAGATTATCCAAAGGAATGGTGAACAGTATGAACATGTTTCTCAACGTTAAAAAAAACTTATTGAGTTCGTCTATCATATGACATGTAATTTAATTTTCTACCATGATAAACAATGAAACATAGGCCAATGAAATGTGAAACATTTTTTGTTGCCACCCAGTATAATGATTAATATTGTGGTAATTTGGGACCCATTAATGCTCATTGAAGAAACGTCCAAGAGAATTCTGGGCCATATCCGCCGACTCATTAAGCTCAGGTCATTCCCTCTCAATTTATTCGTTCCTGTGTGAGTATAGTCTCGAAGGCAACAGTAGGAGTTGCTCTCCCATGAACGATATACGTGAATTCTCACAGCTCGAGTACCTCCAGATGATGGAAAAAGAGACTAGGAAGAATCTGGAAGAAAAATTGGGAAGATGCAGCAGCGGACATAAGGAAGAGCTTGAGAGCGTGCGTCTTCAGCTGGATGGCGAGAAGGAACTCCTTAAAATGATCTTAGAGAGGGTCTCGAAGTTGGAGGAAAACCTCCAAGAGGCTAAGGAGCAACAGGAACAGATGCGAGCGAGGATCCCAACGTTGCTGAATCGGCTCTGGAGCGTCACCGAAGACAATACGGTATGGTTACTCGCGCTTGTATGCAACAATTTCGGACAAGAGAAGGGCTTTCTAAAATCCCTCTGCATAGGAGCAGATGCATGGAAGAGGTTTTCCATCCCGTTCAAGGTTATAGAAACATGCGTTCTGCCATTATTTGCAAAGGAAACTCATTTTTCGCAAAATGAGTTTCCTTCGCAAAATGAGTTTCTCAGGGATTTACCAGTCTCTGGAAATGAATACACTTTCACGTCCCATCATGGATGTTAGTGCCGCATACCGTTCGCTTGAAGGTTCCTCGTCCCATTTCTGCAACTTGGCAGTCATAATTGGAAGTGGCCAAGAATTTCATCCTGTTCTCCCTGAGACTCGTTGAGGTGGGATGTTCTCCCACATCTCACCTTTTGATTGAGAATACGAAGGTGATGACGGAGGTTCTAACTGTAAAGAAACGTAAATTGACCCCTGGACTCCATAGAATAAAAGAATTGATGAATTTAAAGAAATCGCCAAGCTTACAGCATGCAACATAAAATTTTTAGTGTGATCTATGGCTCTTTAACGATTTATTTTAAAAGGTTCCGAAACCCAACGGTAACCGTTTACCCAAGCAACAAGTATACATGCTTCGTACATGAGCATACTGTAGAGGGGCTAAGCTGTAGATTCTACTTGCAACATCTATAGGAGTCCGTGACTAGAAAACGATTTCTCTCTTCAGAAAATGATGGACGAGATGAGGAGGGTGAGGATGTGCCTCCGGACTGTGGTTCGAAAGGGGCCGGAAGAGGAGGGAGGCCGAAGTCTTTCGGAGGAGGTGAAGTCCCTGATCAGCAACCTCGTGGATGAAGTTCTTCGGGAACAGGAAGAAAAGGCGGGTCTCATCCGCTCGCTCGCCGACTCGGGGGAGAGGGAGAGGGAACTCTCCGCCGAAGTTCACCGTCTCGATGGGAAGCTGGAGAAGTCGTTGAGCGATCTTATCGACCTCTCAGAAAAGGTTTTTTCTATTTTTACACTTCGGATCGAATTCACCCGTGCACTTAGATGTGATACTGATGATCACACCAAGTCGTTACAAAACAAATATTGTCGCCATTAATTCAGTAATCGATCATTAAAAAAGTCAGGTTGCTTCTTACTGCTTGTGCCTTCAAATTCCTCCTCATCCTCTACATTCATGGAGATTTTTGTGCTTACCAGTCATTCTTACTTTAATCTCGGATGATCTCGGAACATGTGCTAATTTAGCTCTTCCCAGCTCGTGTCCGCTCTAATCCCTTATGAAAGGCATAACTGCTATATCCGTGACAAACGAATGATGCAAGGTAAGGTAAAACGGTGACTCATCTCACGAACTGGTTGTGATCGACATCGCAATGGCATTGGATCATAGGCGAGCACACAGTCCTCCTCGATGCAGGAGATGTGGGAAAAGATGAAGGAGCAAAGGCGAGCCTTGGAGTCGCTCTGTAGGGAACCAGGGAAACTGAGGGGCGAGCTGGAGGAGAACATCTCCACGTATCAGGAAATGCCCAAGAGGATTTTGCTTCTCCAACAAGCTATTCAGGTTGTCTGACCTGCTTTTGTCGTTCAAATATAATCCAGCCGGCCTCTCTGTTGGGTCATGCGGTATCCTGAGATGAATTTAAAATTGTTTCCCCCTGTAAAATAAATGAGAAATTTATCAATTTTTAAGTAAGGGGGACATTTGGCAATTTCTAATAATTATTTTTTTTTGCTGAAATTGATAAAGGGAGCAAACTGAATGAACAAAATAAATGAACAGAAATAGAACTATCACCGATTTCTCCTCGAAGGACAAGGAAGAAAGTAATAATTACGTGGTGGCGGAGAAGCTGGCAGCGCTTGAAGATGCCCGGAGGGCCGAGCAGGACATCCTCCGCCT